GCGGCGTCCACTATGGACCAGCGCCGGAGGCCGGTCGGCCACCGCGGCCAATCAGCGCAAGGCTCCAGACAACTCCGCCCCCAGGCCACTCCCCCATCACCTCCTCTCCGATTCTGCGGGCAGCACGCCCAGCATCCACAGCGCCAACAACAGCCATCTTGGAGAAGGGCAGAAGAAGCTCAAGTTGCGGATCATTGTCAGGGCAGGGCTGATCTGAAGTGTCTCACCGCATTTACGTTGTGGATTACGGTCGGTTTGGGTTCTCAGGCCGAGTTGCTCTAGGTGCCAGGTGTCGTCTGCAGACCAACTCAGGCTTGCCCCATCTCAGTGGTCCAATGTTGAGGACGCAGGGAGTGCGACAGCCAGAAGGGGGTCCTTGAGGGCGCTGGCTCCACTTGCAGGGCCAAATAGGCGCCCTCCACTCCCTCTCTGGAGCGTTTGGCTCCCCTAATACGCGAGAACCCCCAGATATTCGGATTAAAGGCGTGCGCCACCACCACCCCGCGGACCCCCAGATATTCTTAAGGTTTGTTGTACTCAACAAAAAGCTTTAACTTAAAATAGAAGAAAAAAAAAAGAGCACGCTCTCCTGTAGCTATTGTATCATTTAAAACAAGTTTATATTTACTTCTTGTTCTTTGGCTGAATGTAAGAAAATGAACTGCCTGTGTATGCTTTGAAATCTCTATTAAAATTTGGATCTTCACGGCCGGGCGTTGGTGGCTCGTGCCACTCAGGAGACAGAGGCAGGTGGATCTCTGTGAGTTCGCGACCAGCCTGGTCTACAGAAAGAGTTCCAGGACAGCCTCCAAAGCAATACAGAGAAACCCCTGTCTCGAAAAAACAAAAACAATTTTTTTAAAAAAAGGGGTCTTCACAAAAACAATTAGAAATGGTGGAGGCCAGGAAGTCCGTTTCAAAGATGGATTTGTACGAATGAGACCCGAAATTAATAATTCAACCCACCCCGGGAAAAAATGGAAAGGACACTTTCATGAATGTAGCTTTTTATAGTTTTTTCCTTTGTTTGATATGGTAACATTAATTTCACTTATGACCTACAACCGAGAGATACATAGTTGCCTTCTTATTTCAAAGTTATTTTGTAATTTCAACATGTGTGTCAATCAATTTGAAAACTATTGGCAACTGCTAAAGATTAAATAGGAATTTAGAAATGTAAGAGGTCATGTTGTTGGATTTGTAATGATATTTTGAAGTTGCCCAAGAATTTCTTTGACTTTTTTTATACCATGTGAATATCTATAGTCTTTAAAACATCAAAAACAGTACTATAGATTTGAAGATTCAAAAAGCAAATAAAACACTTAAAAATAGTTTTTACCTATCAGTCTTAAAATCTTTATAGAAAAACAACAGAGCAGATAGACCTCGTAGGACATGCCTGAAGTTATTTCAAAGGCTGATATCAGGGGGTTGTAGGTTGCAGGACAACCAGGCAATTTAGTGGACCCTGCTTCAAAATAAGAGAAATAAAAAGAGCTGGATATAGCTCAGTGGTAGCTCTTCCTTAGTGTACCAGATGATCATTTACCATTCCATTACCTGAGGTTCCATTACCCAGAGTGGGGGTGGGGGAAAGAACTGGAGGGAGGAGACAGAAAGAGGGCATGGGGAGTGGCTAGACTTTGTCCTTATGATCCTCATCTCCTGGTCTCCTAGTGTTTAACCACACTACCACACTGGATAAGCCCACACTATCTCTGAGTCATATCCTTCCTGGAACTAAGGCTCTTTATGTAAAGGTCTACTTTGCTGACCTCTAATAGGCATCCAACTCTCCTTCTACTTCATCTTTATCTATAGCCTTTCCTTCCTGAGGAATGAGAACTCCATCCTTGCCCTTCTTGGAGTCAAGACTCTGGGCTCAACCTTGATTTTTTTTCCTTGCTTACATCACACCACACCAGTCATCAAGTTCTGTGTCAGCCCTCTATTCAAAATCTAGTATCTAAGCCATCTTCTCTACCAGTCCCCACCCTGGACCAAGCAGCCATCATTCCTCACTTGGATTATTTTAGGTTATATACAAAACAGTAATCTGCCTGACAGAGCTCCAGCCCCACCCTCAGGCACCAACCTCTCCCAGGATCACTGCCTCCCTGCTGGTCCTTCACAATGTCACTTAATCCCTCCCTAAGACTTTGGTATTTTGATTCTTACCAGAAGCTCTACCTCCCTAAAGCCCACATCTACAAAGTTACTCCCCTCTGAGAACTATGTTTGCTGAACACTAACACAGAACCCTCAGACTCTCTTGTCTTTGCTGTGTTCACCTTCCTTGGTTTATTCGTTAGTGCTTATCACCCAAACACCTGACACTGATATATCTTTATCTGTATTGGTGTTTTCCACACTGCAAGATAGACTCCAGAAGGGACCTTGTTTACTGCAGTATCTTCAATATCTGGACCAATGCTTGGCTCCTAGTACATACTTCATAAATATTTGCTGAAGGGAAGATTGAATCATTGAGACTGCTCACAGGTATACCACTGTTCTCATTTTAAAAGAAATCTAAAGGTCAATAAAGGACTTGCCTCTTGGCTGAACCTGAAAAGATGCATGGCTGAGAAGGTTTGTAACTACTAGCCTGTGCCTCACAATCCTACAGCAGTATAACTAGGTGTTTAATAAACATTAAACTAAGTATCCCTAATAGAGAAAAAAGGACAACCCTATTTTCTTAGCTACCTACCTACCTTCCTACCTATTATTTTTTGATACAGGGTCTCACATTCGAGCCCAGGTTGGCCTAGAAATCTCTGGAATGCTCTTACTTCAGCATCTGGAATGATAGAATCACAGGCACGAGCCACACCTTGACAAGTAGTTGCTTTTTAAAGTGGGGTATTCCCATACCCATTTTGCAGATAATGTATGTCCTTGTTAAATTGGGAGCTGTAGGCTCACAGATCAGACCACACTCCCAGCTGTCTCCCTCCCTCTCTCCAGGATCAGCTATAGGAATATGACAGGCCCATGCTGTGACTATAAAGTCACAAAAGGCAGAATCTTGCCTCCTTCCCCAGCTGACCCAGAAACAGAGACAAACTGACTTCAAGCAGCCAGCATGTATTATGGGCTGCTGTTCATGCTTACTGCCTTCTGGCTTTGGATCACATCCCTCTGAAACTTTTTAGAGAGGACTGCTATTTAGTTTGGTGGAACTGAAGTGTCTGTCTTCAGAATCCCACCATACTTGTATGGAGCATTAAGTACCAAAGCTTCACCTGAAGGACAGTTTGTCTCAGCACTTCTCTTTGAACCACCTCTCTCAACAGTGTCCAGTTACCCTAGCAATCTTGTTATCTACTTTTGCAAAAGAACAAAAGAAAAACCACTATTGCTTTCTAGAAATTAATGCTGCTTTAAAAAAAAACCAACAGCTAAATAGTGAGGCAAGGTGGCACACACCTTCAATTCTGGCACCCAGGAGACAGAGGCAGGTGGATCTCTGTGAGTTTGAGGTAGGCCTGGTCTACAGAGTGAGACCCTGTCTCAAAACAAAAGATGTTAAGTAAAGCAAGTGGTTTTTATCTTGGATTATGTAAGATTAGGCAATCTCCCATAATCATGTAATTGAATGTGCCATAGTTTTTGAAAATTTGACACAAACCTAATCATACCTGGGAAGAGGGAATCTTAAGGAATTGCCTCCATTAGGTTGGCCAATCTGTGGGGCATTTTCTTATTTATTAACATGGGAAGGCCAAGACCCCTAAGGGGAATGTCACCCCAGGCTGTTGGTCCTGGGTAAAGCAAGATGAGAGTTCACAATGAGAAGCCAATGAGCAGCCTTCTCTCAAGGATTCTGCTTGAGTCCCTGTCCTGAATTCCCTTCCTGGTAGACTACAATTGTATACCAAAACTAACCCTTTCCTTCCCCATTGTGTTTTATCACCACAAAAGAAGGCAAATCAAAACAAGACTACACACACATTTGTTTTTTTTTAATGGGCTCCTATGGGACAGTGGTGGCACACTCCTTTAATTGCCTTTAATCCCAGCACTTTGGAGGCAGAGACAGGTGGATCTTTGTGTGTTCAAGGCCAGCCTGGTCTACAGAGCAAGTTCCAGGACAGCCAGGGCTGTTACACAAAGAAACCCTGTCTTGGAAAAACAAGCAAACAAAAATAATAACAGATAGGCTCTATTTTTTTTTTTTTTTTTTTTGCCTTCGAGACAGGGTTTCTGTGGCTTTGGAGGCTGTCCTGGAACTTGCTCTGTAGACCAGGCTGGTCTTGAACTCACAGAGATCCACCTGCCTCTGCCTCCCGAGTGCTGGGATGAAAGGCGTGTGCCACCACCGCCTGGCAAGATAGGCTCCTTTAGAATTCTTGGACCGAAGTAATCTGCTTTCCTCAGCCACAGAAGTGCTGGGATTGCAGGCATCCGACTACAGTAGTATGTCCAATTTTGAATTATTATCCGTGACATTTTCCAGTTTGCAAATATTTTTTTAAATTACTTTAAAATCAAAGAGTGTCAGAGATGATAGTGCAAAGCATAGAAAACAGGTTTTAATTATCTTATGAGCTGTGTGACCTTCATTATACTAACTGTTCTGGCTTCCTTATCAGTTCTGCATACTAATAACCCTTTAGGGAGAATTGAGAGAATTAACTGAAATATGCAGCATAGTCCCTACCATACAGAATGTACCCAATAAAAGACGGTTTCTCCTTAATGACAAATAACCGGCACTGAAAAACTGAAACAAAACATGTGCCATAACTAGTTTCTCGACTTTTCCTCTTAACCTAAAGGTGCCCGTTGGAATCTAAAAGATAAAGATAATTAATTCAAATGGAAAAAATAAAAAGGGAAGAATGTGCACTTTACTGCACAATCGAAAGTAGCTCTTTGGTTCAGCTTAAGAGTCTCAGACTTCACCAGGGAAGAAATCGTCTTAACACTCATTTCCCTGCCTCTCATTGCGGTTGCGCAATGAGGCCAAATGTCCCTTCTCGGCCGCCTTAGCACCCCCACCCCCCTACCCGACAGCGCACTTCTATTGGTTGGGCCTGTTTGGCGCCAAAGCAAGGAGGAGAGGCTGATCGCTGTGGGGCTCTGAACAATAGAAGTGCCGCGGGCGAGAGCTAAGCGACCGTTTGGCGTGACTTGGTAGTTGACGGGACCGCGGGACTCGGGAGCGTCCGTCATGTTCTGGGGGCCTCTGGCTCGGGGGCGGGGCCTATGTGGACCTTCCCTGGGCTAGGCAGCTGTAGCATGGGGAACATTCTTCTCACGTGCCATTTGCTGGGTTCTCTTTAAAGCCTTGCTAGGTTCCGACATAGGAAACAAAAAGCTTGAAACTGGGCCAAAAAAAGAATTGTAGGGAAAACACTTATATTTATGTTATCCATTGACTTGGTGAATTTCCTCATTTTTGTTTCTTGATTTTGTTTTTTTTTTTTTTGAGACAATCAATACTCATGTTGTTCAGGCTGGCTCTATTAAAAAGAATTATGTGTGTGTGTGGCAGGTGCCCCATGAAAACCAGAAGAGGGTTTGGGATCTTCTGGAACTGGGGTTATAGGCGTTTGTGAGCTGCAGGATGTCGGTGCTGGGAACTCAGGTCCTACTCAGGGGCAGCAAGTACTGTTATCCGCTGAGTCATCGCTCCAGGTCCGCATAGATCTTTATAACTAGCCTCTTTTTTTTTTTTTCAAATTAATTTCATTTTATGTGCGTTGGTGTGAAGGTGTCAGGTCCACAGGAACTGGAGTTACAGACAATTGCGAGCTGTCATGTGGGTGTTGGGAACCCGGTCCTGTGGAAGAGCAGCCAGTGCTCTTAACCACCAAGCCCCTATAGGCAGGCTCTTGATGAACCAATAGTATCTTGATGTAACTGGAGTAGTTCTGGGCCTCTGTGTGAAGCTAGGTCCCAGCCTCCGCCTTTAGAAACCACTGATTTGCCTTCTTTGCTTGTAGATTATTGACTTTTTTTCTATCATGTATCTGGGTTCAGTCTGCTAAGAGCTTACACTTGATAAAGGGCCTGATGCCTTGGTAAGGGCCATATGGAATCATGGAGTATGTACTCTTTGTATCTATATCTGGCCTCTTGCTCAGTATAATCTGAGACTTTTTTTTTTTTTTTTTTTTTGATATTTCAAGACAGGGTTTCTCTGTATAACAGCTCTGGCTGTCCTGGAACTCACTCTGTAGACCAGGCTGGCCTCGAACTCACAGAGATCGGCCTACCTCTACCTCCGGAGTGCTGGGATCAAAGGGTTCCGCCACCACCACCCTGCAGTTCAGTAGTTTTATTGTTCTTTTTTTTTTTTTTAGATTTATTTATTTATTTATTTTATGTATATGAGTACATTATCTGTATGTATGACTTTATGGCAGAAGAGGGCATCAGATCTCATTACAGATGGTTTCGAGCCACCATATAGGTGCTGGGAATTGAACTCAGGACCTCTAGAAGAGTAGTCGGTGCTCTGAACCGCTGAGCCATCTCTCCAGCCCCTGTTCTTTTTTATTTTAAAGATTTATTTACTGTTTTTTTGAGACAGGGTTTTTCTGTGTAGCCTTGGCTGAAACTTGCTCTGTAAATTAGGCTGGCCTGGAACTCATGGAGATCCATCTGCCTCTGCCTCCCGAGTGCTGGGACTAAAGGCATGAGTCGCCAATGCTCAGCCTCATTTTGGTTTTTTTAAGACAGGGTTTCATTGTGTAGTGCAGGCTGGCCTCAACTTGACATGCTTCTCCCAGTTGTTGGGATTGATTTAGGCATATGGCTACTCTGCCTGGCTAAAGTGCTTTTCTGTCTATGAATTTTCCAAGGTATTCCAGATAAATAGACTCAAACTACAGTCCTTTTGTGTCTGCTGTCTCTGGTTTAACATGGAATTGTCAGGACCCATCTATGTTGGAGGGTATATCAATACTCATTCCTTCTTATTGCTAAATGATACCCTACTGGATGATACACCACATTTGGTTCATATCTCAATCAGTTGTTGGTCCTTGTATTTTATTTGCTTTTTGAGTATCTTGAATAATGCTGCCAAGAACATTTGCATAAAGCCCAGTGTATGCCTGTAATTATAGGACTTGGGATGCTGAGGCAGAAGGTTTAATGTGAGGTTAGCCTGAGTCACACAGTACTAGCAAGACCCTGTCTTAAGAGAACCAATTATGGGGGCTGGAGAGATGGCTCAGAGGATAAGAGCACTGGCTGTTCTTTCAGAGTTCCTGAGTTCAACTCCAAGCAACCACATGGTGGCTCACAGCCATCTGTAATGAGATCTGGTGCCCTCTTCTGGACTGCTGGGATACATGCAGGCAGAACACTGTATGCATAATAAATAAATAAATCTTGAAAAAAAAAGGTTTTAAAAAAGAGAGAACCAATTATGAAAGCCTAAAAATAAAAATAAAAAAATAAACACAACAAAATTGTTAAGTTTTTGTGTAAGGGTTGGAGATTTAATAGTAGAAAGAAAAAAATGAATGAGTGAAATGAAAAAAATAAGAAAGCAAAAAAAGAAAACATGTCTAGGAATGAGATTGGGTATAAAACTATGAGTGGAAGTGCTGGGTCATATATATGGTAGTTCAGTTTAATTTTTTTTTTTTTTGGTGCTGGGGATAGAGTTCAAGATCTTATGCAAGCTAGGGAAGTGCTCTACCAATGCGTTTCATCTACAGTCCTTTGTTGTTTAAGATAGGGTATCTGTGTAATGTATGAGGACCTTGAAGTCTCAATCCTTCTGCTTGGCATCCTGGGTTCAAGAACTACGCCCATTCTTTTTAAGTGTGGAACTGATTTCCACATGCTATTTCATTTTATGTTCCTTACCAATATCTGTAGCCATGGAAATATTGTGAAGCCTATTTTTTTGTTAAGGTATATAAATGAAAGACGCATATAGTACAGGTTGAAGTTAATCAGGAAATCAATTAATGCATTTATACATTTCAGGAGGATGGACTCAGACAAGTTCTGGAGGAGATGAAAGCTTTGTATGAACAAAATCAGTCTGATGTGTAAGTTGTGATAATTTCAATTTTTTAAAAATAAGAAATGAGATGTTAAAATCAGAACCCTTTATCTCTTTGGGGATTTTTTTGTGGGTGTTTTTTTTTTTTTTTTTTTTTTTTTTTTTTTTTGTAATTTTCTGAACCTGAACTTACCCTGGTTGTACAAGTGAGCACAGGACTTGAACTTAAAGGGATTTCTGGTGATCTGTGGTTGGGCAATGCTTCACATATGCTAGATGCTTAATTTACATCTTCATGATGTATGACTTCTAAGTTGAAAGAATTAAGGTAGACTTAACAAGATGAGATAGGAGCAGATAAAGCCCATGATGCAAGTCAATCCTTAGTTCCCACTCTTTGTTTTCATTAACAGATGCCTTATTGTGTTTGAAGGAGAAGAGTTCACCGGGCAGGAACAGCAGTGATTTCTGACAGCATGAGTAGAGTTTATTGAGAACTAGCAGGTCAAGAGAGGGCTATAGATGTATTGGATATTTAAAGTTAGGCATGGCGTCTCATACAGTGAAGAATCTGGTCTGTGTGAACAGACCTCAGAGGCTGCCATCACATGGTAAGATTAAAAAAGAGTGCTGAGAGCTGGATCAAAGCTGAGGTAGTCAGGACCCCCCCCCCCTTTTTTTTTTTTTTTTTTATTGAGACAGGGTTTCTCTATGTATCCTCACCTGTCCTGGAATTTGATCAGTAGACCAGGGTGGGCTCTGCCTCCCAAGTGCTGGGATGCCCAGTGTTAGTCAGAACCTTAACTAGAGAGGTTTATGAGTTACTTGGATGTAGAAAGATGATTAGGTCTGTGGGGCATACAAAGTGATAGGAACACAATGCATGTAGATAACAAATATTTTTACCAATAGAATGAGGAACTGAACCTCAGCAGGGCTGTGGTAAATGTGAGTCCAGTGTCAAGTCTTGAACTTAATTCTGCAAGCTTGTTCATTAATCCATTCAACAGACATGCACTGAATAAATTGCACTGATAAATATTTCTGTGATAAATAGCATAGCCTAGATTTCTGTTCAGACACTAAGTACAAACATATCGTGCTCTAAAGGAAGGCCACACGGGAGAATAATGCTAGGAGCCAGTGTGAAGTATAACTGAAACTGAGGAATTGGGAGTGTTTTCTAAGGAAAAGACATTTCAGCTAAGGCTTCAAGGAGAAGGTTTTACTCACTAAAACAGTCATGATGAGCAGTAAGCATTCAGGCAGTGACTACAGCATATGTCAAGGATCTTAAAGAGATGGGTAGCCAGAAAACTTCACTTAAAGACCTGTGTGGCTGCAACTTAGCAAGGAAAAGAGAGTGGCATCAGATGAGATCATTGTGTGGGATAGGTGTGTCTTTAGCATCCTGGCTGCTGTATGTATTTAACAAGCAGAGAGGAGGGGGGACACAGTGGTCATTCAGGTCACTTTAATAAACAGAATAAAGATATATTGTAGACTTTGCCTATTAGGTCTTGGTCCAGTAAGGAACTGAATTTTCTATTATTCCCATATTTGCATCCTGCAAATTAGTGATCCAGAAATTTATCCCTTACTCTGTTAAATTTTTTCTGGGGAGGTGAAAAATTATTATTAGTTTCTCGATAAAATTATCTGTGAGGAGCTGGAGAGATGGCTGTGGTTAACCAGCTGCTCTTGAGAGCACCTGGGTTCCCAAGTGGCAACTCACAATGATCTGTAACTCCAGTTCTGGGGATCTGACACCCTCTTCTGGCCTCCATGGGAACTCCATGTATGTGGTGCAAATATCTATTCATATAAAAAGGGTTTTGTTTTGTTTTTAATTTTTCAAGACAGTAATTCTCTGTGTACTCTTGGCTGTCCTGGAACTCACCCTGTAGACCAGGCTGGCCTCAAACTCAGAGATTCACCTGCCTCTGCCTCTTGAATACTGGAATTAAAGGAGTGTGCCATCATCACCCAGCCTAAATAAAAAGATTTTGAAAAATAAAAAAATAGGGCTGGTGAGATGACTCTGGGTAGAGGTACTTGCTGCTATTTGTTGATTTTAGTTTGACCCCCAGGACCCAGTGAAAGCAGAGGTTGAACTTCCTAAAGTTGCCCTCTGATCTGTTCTCTATAGGAACTGCATGTGAATATAAATAAATGCAACAAAAATTTAAAAATAACTTGTGAATAGAAGCAAATCCTTCAACTAATCGTGTGTAAATGTGAAAAGTTTTACATCTACTTTCTACATTATTCTGATAGTAAATTTATATCATCTCTTGAAAAAAGATCTCATTTTGTAGTTTGGTCTTATCTAATGCCTTCTGTTCTGCCTTGCCTCCCAAATTCTGGAATTATAGACATGGTGCCACCATGCCCTGCTAGTTCAAATGTATTATATTGGTTCCTTATAATCCAGGAATTATATCCTTATATTGTAAGCAGTTGTAAGGAATGTGGAGACTTGACCTGACCTGCATTGAATGGCAGAAGTATATAGAAAGGCTGTAAGTGGTCAAGGACATAGCTTAGTGCTAGGGCTCTTGTCTAGCGTGTATGGGGTCCTGGGTTTTGTCTCCAGCACCACAAAAACAAAACAACCTAGATACTCGGTGAGAAATACAGGGCCTCACTATGTTATGGAGACTAGGATGGCCTTGAACTCAAGAGATTTTTCTGACTCTGCCTCCTAAGTACTTTGATCAAAGGTGTGCACCACTGTACCCAGTTCTGGTTTTTTATCTTTTAATATACTAATGGAGGTAGCCACTCTGCTCAGGTTGACTGCTACTAACTTTAAAGGGACAACAAGCTTGTAAGTCAGTCATTCTGGCTTTGAAATTCTTAACCTACACTGGAATATATATGTTTCTTACTTCTTATATGTCCTTACCAGGAATGAAGCAAAGTCAGCTGGACGAGGTGATTTGATACCAACAATCAAATTTCGACATTGTTCTTTGTTAAGAAATCGACGCTGCACTGTAGCATACCTGTAAGTATCTTGGGTTTTGCTTGGAGTGTCAGGGAACCTAGGAGGGTTTTTTATATAGTTTGGTTTCTCAGTGGGTAGTAAGAAAAAAAAGAAATCTTTGGTCATTCCTTTTTATGTTTTTTTGTTTTGTTTTTTGAGGCAGGGTCTTACCCATGTAGACAGGCTGACTTTGAACTTGCAGAGATCTTTATGCTTTTCCTTCTGAATGTTAGGATTAATGTCATGTGCAATCACACCTGGCTTCCCTTTTTTTCTTTTTTCTTTTTTTCCAGACAGGGTTTCCCTATATAGCCCTGACTGTCCTGTAACTGGCTCTGTAGACCAAGCTGAACTTAAACTTACAGAAATCCCCTGGAGTGCTGGGATTAAAGGTTTGTTCCACCACTGCCCAGCTCTGGCTTCCTTTAAAAATTTTTTTTCAATTATGAAACACTAGTGTATTCATGAAAAGAGAGAGATAATATAACTTGCTCTGTGGAACTTAGCCACATACTTCATTGTGTTTTGTTTTTATGCTGTACTAGTTTGGATTATGATGGCAGCTCACCCCTGAATTCTTTTCTTTTTTTTTAATTTATTTATTATGTACATTGTTATATCTGCATATATGTCTACAGGCCAGAATAGGGCACCAGATCTCATTATAGATGTTGGTTAGCCACCATCTGGTTGCTGGGAATTGAACTTGGGACCTCTGGAAGAGCAGCCAGTGCTCCTAACTGCTGAGCCATTTCTCCAGCCCCTCACCACTGCATTCTTAATACTTTTCTTCTCTAAACAGCGAGGATCTCTTGGCTTTTGTAGCCACTGCATATTGTCACAATTGGAGAGTTAAACAATGCCTAGTGGCATCTCTCAGGTTGAAACAGGCCATCGTGTAGTCCTGGCTGGCCTTGAATTTACAGAGATCTGACTGCCTTACCTCCAAAGTTCTGGGATTAAAGGTATTTGCCACCACACCAGCTACCTAAACAGTTCTTACGCACAATTTTTTTCCCATTGTCCCGAGAATCTTTTCTTGTTGGTGTATTTCTATCAGAGGCCAAACAAAGTCCACATGTTCCATTTAGGTTTTTGTGAGTCTTGAGTCTTCTCATTGGAAAGATTTTTGACTCCTTTTATTATTTTGTTTGTTTGTTTTTCGAGACAGGGTTTCTCTGTGGCTGTGTAGGCTGTCCTGGAGCTAGGTCTTGTAGATCAGGCTGGTCTCAAACTGACAGAGATCCGCCTGCCTCTGCCTCCTGAGTGCTGGGATGAAAGGTGTGCGCCATCACTGGCCCTGTGACTCCTTTTGTTCTTATACCATCTAATTCCTTCATGTCCTAGGTATGACCGGTTACTTCGGATTAGAGCACTCAGGTGGGAATATGGCAGTGTCTTGCCAAATGCTTTGAGATTCCACATGTCTGCTGAAGAAGTAAGTTAGCACTATTCAAATGTATAAAAATGCTATGTTCTCTAATAGTTATCTGTATTTCTCTTTTTGTTTTTAGTATTCAGCAATTTCTCACTTAAAGTAATTCCTTTTTTTTTTGGAGACTGGGTTTCTCTGTGGCTTTGGAGGCTGTCCTGGAACTAGCTCTAGCTCTTGTAGACCAGGCTGGTCTCGAACTCACAGAGATCCTCCTGCCTCTGCCTCCCGAGTGCTGGATGAAAGGTTTGAGCCACCACCACTTGGCCTTAAAGTAATTTCTTATATATTGTGATAGGAAGTATGTGGTGGGGAGTAATTCTAAGTACTGCATGGAAAACTAAGTACTTAACAAAATAGAGTCCCATTAGTTCTTTGTTTATTTGTTTTTGTTTTTTGAAACAGTGTTTCTCTGTGTAACAGCCCTACCTGTCCAGGAACTCACTTTGTAGACCAGGCTGGCCTGGAACTCACAAAGATCCACCTGCCTCTACCTCCTGAGTGTGGGGATTAAAGGTATACACCACCAACACCCTGCCCAATATGCTATTTATTGCTGATTCATCTTTGGAATTAAAAACTGGTATTATTACTTGGGTGTTTTTCTATATAATATGTGCATATATGTACATTCTAATCAAAATTACAAATTCATGTAATATTTCCTCTTCTGCTCCATGGGTTTTGTTTTTTATTTTGTTTTTCCCCCACAATTTCAGTTTCTTTACTGACATTTTCTTCTAGGTTGCTGACTTTTTTTTTCCTCTTGAGAAGTGGTTTCTTTGTGTAGCCCTGGCTGTCTTGGAACTTGTTTATAGACCAGGCTGGCCTAGAACTCACAGAGGCCTGCCTCTGCCTCCCTAGCCCTGGGATTAAAGGTGTGAGCCACCACCACCCACCACTCTTTCACCCCCCACCCGAAGGTTGCTGACTTATTATTCCTAATTCATCCATTTTACTACCTTACCTTCTGTATTGCTGACTTAATTAAACCATTTGTTTGTATTGCCTTAAAAACATTGATCATGGGCTGGAGAGATAGCTCAGAGGTTAAGAGCACCGGCTGCTCTTCCAGAGGTCCTGAGTTCAATTCCCAGCAACCACATGGTGGCTCGAAACCATCCGTTATGAGATCTGGTGCCCTCTTCTGGTGTGCAGATATACATGGAAGCAAAATGTTGTATATATAATAAATAAAATAAAATAAAACATTAATCAGTTTTTACTAGTAAACTTTTGAAATCATCATCTAGCCTTATAGCAATTTCACTGTCACTGATTTTGGTAGTGAATTACATACAGCCTTCTAGAAGAGCCAGTTTGCCACACTTTCTTATGTTTTGTGGGGTGTCTGTCTTGTGATGTGTATATCTGATGGTCAGGATCTCTCTCCCTGTTTTATTTGGGGATCTTCTTGAAGGTTTAATATCCAGTACCCTCCATAGAGAGAAAGCAAATTTCTGTAATAGCAACAAACCAAGAAGCAATGGAAGATATAGAAATACACTTCAAATCAAGTACAGCCTACTAATGGATCATCAGTAACCACAAAAGTAAAACTGGCAAAAGTACTGTAGAATGTGGGACAAAGTTAATTTTTAGAGTGAGTGTGGAAATAGTAAATGAATGAGATAAAAGAAGGAGGCAGGGAAAATAGAGAAGCAAAATCAAATACAAGAAAGGGGAAAGAAGCTAAGTGAGAAAAAAAATGTTAAATCAGGAAAAAGAACAAGAAATTAGAAAATATAGACGAATGATAGCTCAATCATAAGAAAGTTCAAAAACAAATTAGACAAGTGTAAGGAGAAAGATAGATAGATAGATAGATAGATAGATAGATAGATAGAGACAAGTATAAGGAGAAGATAGATAGATAGATAGATAAATAGATAGATAGAAAGACAGACAGATATGATAGACAGACAGACTGACAGACAGACAGAGTCCATGCACAGTGGGCAGGGTCAGTGGAGCTTGTAGACCCCTGTCTTCCCTATGGTTTTTTTTGTTTTGTTTTTTTTCTCAGATTTTTTTTTATTTGAATTAGAAACAAGATTGTTTTACCCAACAATCCCAGTTCCCTTCTCCCTCCCGTCATCCCCTACCACCCCTCACCCCAACTAAAACCCTACCTATCATATATCCTTTCTACTCCCCCGATGGTGAGGCCTTCCATAGGGTGTCATCATATCCTTTGGGATAGGGCCTAGGCCCACCCCCATGTGTCTTGGCTCAGGGAGTAGTCTTCTATGTGGAATGGTCTCCCAAAGTCCACACCTATGCTAGGGATAAGTACTGAACTACTATAGGAGGTCCTCCCTATGGTTTTTATATGCTGTTGCTCAGACCATACTGGCTGAGTGTCTGATATTTGCCAGAGCTGTCTTCACTTCAGTAGTTATGATAGCTTTGTCAGTTTGACACAACCTAAAATCCCTAGGAAGAGATCATTGGGCCAGTGGGAATGTCTTTGGGGAATTTTCATAATTAAGTTAATTGATGTGGGAAGATCCAACTCCAAGATGTGTTATTTTGAGATGGTAGTATATAGTTTGTACAAATTTTCTTAAACCTTTGTCAAACGACCATTTTTATGTTCACAGATGGAGTGGTTCAACCATTATAAAAAATCTCTTGCTACTTACATGAGGTCACTGGGAGGAGATGAAGGTTTGGACATCACACAGGATATGAAACCTCCCAAAAGCCTATATATTGAAGTATGTACTTACTTTAATGCAGACATTGCACTACCCTTTATCAAAGATGAGGGTTTACTAAAGAAAGAAGGAAACTAAAAGAGAGAAAGTTTCCACTGTCTTTAGGATGGACACCTAAAATTTCATCAGTATACCCATTTTAATAGTTTTGGGTTTAGTACTACAAATAGTTTCTAAAGAGGGAGAGAAACGTGTAGATTGAAAGGTAAGACATAAAACATAATGTGTAGTTTTGTCAGATTCTAGTTTCTACATGAAAACTTAGAAAAATATCCATGAGGGGCTGGAGAGATGACTCAGTGGTAAAGAGCACTGGCTGCTCTTCCAGAGGATTCAGGTTCAATCCCAGCACTTACATGGCAGCTCACAACCATCTGTAACTCCAGGCCTAGGTGACCCAATGCCTTCTGCCTCACTTGGATACTTTACATGTGGTATACAGGCATACATGCAGGTAGAATACCCATACACATGAAATAAAATGGGAAAAATTAACATATGTATGAGACAAGTGGTAACTTGTGTGTGTGTGTATATGGTGGGTTTTTTTTTGTTTTTTTTTTTTTTTGTTTTTTTTTCAGTTGGGGTCTCATGCAGCTCAGGTTTGCCAGGAACATGCCATATAGTCAATGATAACCCTTACTTAGCTCATGATCCTCTTGCTTCCACCTCCCAAGTGCTGGGATTGCAGGCATGAGCTACCATGCTTGACTTTATTTTTTTTTTTGTTTGTTGTTTTAAGAATATTAGTGTATAGAGGTAGGTAATTTAAGCCAGGTGTGGTAGTTCGTATCTGTAGTCCTAGTAGTTGGGAGGCTGAGGCAGAACGGTCCAGAGTTTAGAACCAGCCTGGGCTACAGTACACCCTGTCTTAAGATGGGGAAAAGTAATCCTGAAGTGATTGAGGGGAACACATGTGGCCATGGCACCTCTTCCCCAAAACCGGTCTTTTCAAAGAAGTAAATATAGCAGTGAAGATTAAAATGCTCTGAGAGTCATTGTCAAATTTCAGATTAATTCTAGGACATGGTATAAATATCTGGTTTAGCTGCTGGAGTTGGCTTACTGGAAGTTAGTGGCAGTCCTAACCCTCAGGAGAGTGAACTCTTTCCCAGTTGTCATGAGGTGGAAATGTCTCCCTGTTTTCCTGGATAGCACTCAGTGTTGTCCCTTTAAAAACTTTTTTGAACGTAATGTGTATTTGAGTGCAGTTGTGTGTCCTTTGGTATATATAAGAACAATTTTGGGGAGTTGGTTCTCTCTTTACCCTGTGCGATCAGGAATCACCAGGCTTATATAGCAAGTCCTATTACCCTCTGAGCCATCTAACAGCCCAATTAGTTCTTTGCAGGTGTTGCTGTCAAAGACTGCCTCACTTCTCTTACCTTCCAACCAAGACCTCTCAGTTTTGATGACCTAGGTGCCTAAAGAATAAGGTTAAGATGAAGAACAAGCTGAGATGATTAAGAATTTTTGACAAATTAAAAGATAATTCAGCACAATTTCATTTTTGCTTCATATCGAGACAACAAATGAAAGTTGTGCTTTCATTTTCTGCTGCTAAGAATTCCCTGGAATGAATCTGCATATTAAAGAAGGTTGGAAGACTCTCTTCCAAAAGTAGACTTGTATCCTAATCTCATACTAATACTACAGAAATGAGGCTGGAGTGGATCTAGATATTCAATAGATATTTGTGCAACACCTGTTTTCTTTTTTATTACTTACCACCTATAACAACATAAACAAGGTATGCTGGGGCATACCTATACTCTCAGCTAATCAGGAGGCTGACTCAGTAGGATCACTTGAGCCTAAGGGTTAGAGACTCAACTAGACAACACAGCTAAAGAACCTGTCTCAAAGAAAAAACAAAGTCTCAATTTGTTCTTTCAGGTACGATGTTTAAAAGACTATGGAGAATTTGAAGTTGATGATGGCACTTCAGTTCTGCTCAAAAAAAATAGTCAGGTATTTTCTATTGTCACATACTTTAAACCTTGTTAAGAATGTGTGTGAGGTAATGCTCAATTCAGTAGCAAAATGAGTATCTCCTGGTGATGTTCCTCTATCTCAGACCTTTCTGGACTTTTTCTAAATAATAAGACCTGAACCAAACATTTCATATGGCAAGAAAAAGTTAATTAATTTACTAGGTTGCTGCTTATACTCAATACTAAACATTTTCCTGAGTAATTATTATAATGGGCCTTGTTCTGAGTAGTTTACAGATTGTTTCGGGACTACTAAAATGTTGACTTTAAGGGTTGGTAATCCCATCTACTCAGGAGGTAATCCCACCTAAGCAGGAGGATCAAAAGTTGAAGGCCTTGTCTTTAATCCCAGCACTTTGGGAGGCAGAGGCAGGCAGATCTCTGTGAGTTCCAGACCAGGTTGGTCTACATAACAGGTTCCAAACCAACCTGGGCTACAAAGGAAATTCTAATCCATACCTGGCAATTTAGTGAGATAATGTCTCAAAATGAAAAATAAAAACAGGATTGGAGTTGTGCCTCAATGGTGGCACTTGTCTAGCGTGCATGAAGCTATAGGTTCATATCTATAGTACTAAAGTAACAAGCAAAAGAATGTTGAATTGACCTTGTCCCTGATTTTATGAAAATTCTTCCTTGCTTTGTTTTCAAGATAGGGTCTCTCTCTGCAGCTCTGGCTTGGCCTGGAACTGTCTGTAGACCAGGCTGGCATTTAATTTATAGAGATCTACCATCTCTGCCTCCCAAGTGTTGGCATTAAAGGTGTGTGCCACCACTGCTCAAGAACTTTTAAGTACTTAATATGTAAGCAGAGCAACTTAACAGGATAAGATTGTCATTGTAAAGAGCTGTAACTTCATATTAACACAGTTCATTTTTATCCTCTCCCCGTTTTCTGAAATCACAGTAAAGGAGGGAAAGAGCTTCATAAGGGCCACTTCTTTGCCTGCCCTGCCATATGGGTGTTGACCAGTTAGGGGCTTGTCCCTAAATCATGATGTGGACTGTTTACATCCTGGAACACAATTCTTCTGGCCATCTGGTGCTCTGGCCTGAGAGGGTGACTGATCTATTTTATTAGTGTGCAGCTGTCATTTCTCAAAACTAGCTTTGTTTTTAGAATCGATTTCAAAGATACCCTAAAATCTTTGTTAAATCAATTGTTCTCTCCCATGTGTCTCTTTAAACATATTGCATCAAAACCAGATGATTTAACTAAGGTGCTTAAAAAAAAAAAAAAAAAAGAATCTGTGTTCTGAAGGTATCCTGGGAACCTGCAGTTGCCAAGAGCAAAGCTGTCCTCAGAACAAGATGAGAGGAAGTGCTTTCAATTTGTTGAGGTTTTCTTGCTCTGTGGCTGACCTGCCCACTGAGTACCGAGGCAGTGAGGCCTGAGCCTGTTCATCTGCTCCTGTGTGGACATGTGAACAGCCTCAACAACTTGCGTTATCGTATTTAAAACCTATTCTCTAATGTTAAAGAACTTATCATTTTGGGCGAGGGGAACTTTGGCAGACTCCATGGCAGGCAAGGGACAAACATGCCAGGCAACAGAGCTTAAATGAGGAGTTTTATTAGAAAGGGAAGGGAGGGGAGAGGGAAAGCAGAGAAAGATGGGGGACAGAGAGAGGGAGAAGAAGAGAGGAAGGGAGACAGAGAGACAGGAAAAGTCCTGTCTGCCCCTTCAGAGGAACATCAGGAAAGAGTGGAAGTGGGTGGAGTTTTTCTTTTAAAGGGTCCTTTGCACCTGCGTGCAGATTATGTAGTGATGAACACTGGGCTGACCGGGGTACTTCCTGAGTGCATCTGCCAGGTGACAGGGGGCAAGCCAGCATAATGCCTGAATCTTACAGAACTAATAAAATACCTGATCATGGGCCAGAAAATGGCAAAGTAAGTAGAAGTGCTAGCACACAGGCCCAATGACCTGTGTTCAGTTCCTGGATTCCATAATGTGGCAGGAGAAAGCCAACTCCTGAGAGTTGTCTTCTGACCTTCACATGCATGCTATGGCCTCTGCATGCCTGTGTCTGCACATGTACTCACACACCTGCATGTATACTAAATTAGTTAATATCTGGCCACAGTTATGACATTAGTGAGGAAATAACATGTATTTCTGTTTTTTTTGAGATAGGATTTCTGTGTAGCTTTGGAGCCTGTCCTGGAACTGGCTCTGTAGACCAGGCTGTCCTCGAACTCAAAGAGATCCACCTGCCTCTGCCTCCTGAGTGCTGCTCCACCACCTCCTGGCTTAACATGTATTCTTTAATACTTATAAATATGGTGTTAAAGCAACTGGCAAGTGTGTCACTCTGTGTGTGTGTGTGTGTGTGTGTGTGTTTGTGTGTGTGTATGTATGTGTAACACTTAATAATTTTTAAAAACTTGGTGAATAAGGAGCTGGAAAGATGACTTGGTGGTTAAGCACATTTGCTGCTTTTGTGGAGGACCGTAGCCCAAGGTGATCTAGTGCCATCTTCTGGCCTCCATGGATAACAGGCATACATGTGGTACACATAGATATCTAGACAAAACGCTCATACACATAAAATAAAAATGAGTAAATCTTAAGAATTATTCAGTGACTTTATGAAGTAAGAACTTAAAAGTAGTATTCATCTACTAGTATTATCAGTTTTACTTGGTTATAATAGCAAGTTAGTTAAGATTAGTTTTTATCTACTTAGTTGTAGAGGTTGATAAGTATACAATAACTTGCTTTTCACTGATACAAAATATAATTAAATTTTTTTCCTAGTCATTTCTCTCATTCTTTGCCTTCTGCTTCCTTTTGCTTGCAGCACTTTTTGCCTCGGTGGAAATGTGAGCAGTTAATCAGACAAGGGGTTCTAGAGCATGTGCTGTCCTGACTGTGTCCCGTGATGACAACAGCAGAGCTCTTCAAACTTTGCCAGGTGTGAAGCTAAGTCTAGCTCATGTAAACTTCCTTACTGAACCTCCCCCTCCTTCTTTGATTTTAAATTTACAGACATGCTCTAAGATAACCAAGAAGGGTGCTTGGGGTGTAGCTTAGTGGTACAGCACTTCCTTAGCATCTAAGAAACCCTGGGTTCCATCCCTTGCACCCCCAAAGACAAGACAACAAAAATCAAAGAGCAGACTAGACCAGGAGTACTTGGCTAGGAGTATACTCTGCCAACTGTTAAGCCTTTGTACAAGCTATATCTCTAGTCATTCCATTCCCACAGTAAATGCTGTACTTTTATAAATAAAAATAGTCTTCAGTTTGGATCTGTTTTCATGATACAGTTTTTTCAAAAGTAGCAAATATTTATCTAGTAGAAGATGTAAACACCCAGGGGTAGGGGAATAAATCTGTACTTTCCTAAGCAGTAGAATAAGCACCCAGGAAAGAGTTATTTTTGACCTAGTTTAGCTTTCAGTAGGCCAAAGGTGAGCCTGAGCCTTTTTCCGGAGCTGTGGGAGGCTGGAGGCAGGACAGCAGCATCCTTGCACTTTTAAAGACTAGGGCCCAGAAGAGACCTTGGCACTGTTGATGCTCTGCCTCAGCCTCCTAAGTGCTAGTAACATAGTCTTGAACTGCCACGCCCAGCTTCAGCTGTCATTCTGGTTTTGAATTCTTTTTGTTGTTGTTGGCTATTTGAGACAGGTTCTATGTAGCTCTGGCTGTCCTGGAACTCACTATGTAGACCAGACTGACCTTGAACTCACATCCACATGTCTCTGCCTCTGGTGTGCTAGGGTTAAAGGAGTGTGCCACCACATCAGCTTGGTTTTGGTTTCTAATTTGATTTACATAGGGAATATATTTTTAGAACTAAAAATAATTTTAACATTTTTTGTTTGTTTATTTTCGAGTCAGGGTTTCTCTGTGTAACAGTCCTGGCTGTCCTGGAACTAGCTCTGTAGACCAGGTTGACCTCGAACTCACAGGGATCTGCCTGTCTCTGCCTCCTGAGTACTAGGATTAAAGGTGTGCACCACCACCCAGCTTTAAATAACATTTTTATTAATTGAGAATTTCATACAATGTGTTTTAATCTTATTCACCTTCCAAATTTATTTATAGAAATGTGCTGTTTTATTACAAAGAGTCTCACAAAATGAAAATATCTCAAAAAGGAAGCTAAGCTAACACCTCCATCTGCAGAGTTAGGGCAAGACAGAGCAATAGAAGTTTTTCTGCTTGTTGGAGTCCAGTGGGAAGCCTGAAAATAAGAGGTTCCAGAAGACCCCGTCACCCCTTCTAGAAAGCTCATTAATAAGGGCATCTTAACAGAGCTTCTAAAGCAGGCACTTGGTAGTTCAGGATTTTGTCTTCTGGTTGTTTTTCTTACACTCAGACCCTACATGGTTCAAAACTAAGACCTGAGTAGGTTGGACAAAGTGGCTTTGGGAAGAGTTCTCCTAACACCACTGCCGTGGTCTCTGGTCCCTGGTTCCTATCTAGTCCCTGGGAACATTATATTTAATATATTTTATATAAATACAGAGGAATAGAAAATATAAAATCTGAGTGATTGGGGGAGAAGTGAGAAACTTGGGGAGAGGCCAGAGTTGCAGATCTTGCTCAGGCTAACTTGGCCTGTTCTTTGACCCCTTTGGCTTCTGGCTTCTCTTCCTTGGTCTTCTCTTCTTCTGTGACTTCTTTTTGTTTTCTGGTTCTTTTTCTTTTGTATCCTCTGTTTTGACTCTTTTGGCTTTTTTGAAATTAGAAGAGTTCTTGAGACTACCTTCTCCCTCCTCATCTGAATTGGAGAATTCTTTCTCACAGGCAGTTTGTTTGTCAGAAAAGCAGATGGAGATGCGTTTGTCAAGTCTTCTTCGTCCTCATCACCACTCTCCTCTGGGATGACATCCTCGGTATTGCCTGCATTTGGATGCCAGGCACATGGGGCAGCATTCTCAAGTTCTCAAAGGGCCTCTGCTTGATTTTCTAGTGTTGGTCATATTGGAAGGGATGATGTGAAGCTTCAAGTCCAGTCCAAAGTATTCAAAATAGTCATTGTATGGTGGCTCATTAGAGATCTCTGTGTTCAAGGCCACAGCTGTTTCATAATTTCAGCACCGAGCAACATAATGGATGGATCCACCTCCTCCCAGCATTAGCATAGGCAAGTTGAAACTGTTGAAAGACTCTGAACACTTGGCATGCCCTTTGATGGTCAGATTGAAGCAACCTAACCGGCCTCCAGATAGGGAATCGGAGCCACACTGTAAGACCACAGCACTAGGTTGAAACATCTCCATTACTTTGGACATGACTGGCTTGAAAATGGCTTCATAGGACCCATCTTCAATCCCATCTCAGAGAGGGTAGTTAACAGCATAGTACTTGCCTTTGCCAACCCCAATATCCCATAAGTCCCCAGTTCCTGGGAAGTACTCTCCATATTTATGAAAGGACACAGTCATGACTCGGTCTGTGGTATAGAAGGCATTTTCCACACCATCACTGTAGTGAGTGTCAATGTCAACATACAGCACCCTCTGGTGATACTTTAGCAGTTCCAGGATGGCCAAGACGCTATCATTGACATAACAAACCGGATACTCCAGACTTCTTTGCATGACACAGACCCTAAGCCCAGTTCACATGTCTGCCTGCTGTTTATTAAGTTTCACAGCTCTTGCCACAGAACCACCAGTAGACAGCTGACAAGACTCAAGCCATCAAATACTAGACAGTCCTCACCAACACGGAATCTCTGCATCTGCTTGCTGTTCTCAAACATGTTATCTGGGCAAATGGAATGCAAAAATTTAATGTGGTCATCGCTGTGGTACTTGGTCATCTCAGCATTGGCTTTGTGAGGACGAAAGATTTCCATTTTTCAGTAGAGACCATAGTGTAGCAGCAAATTGTGAGTCATGTGGATTCAGTGAGGCTTTATCAGGTGGCCTTGTCCATTATAGTATTTTCCAACATCACCTCAACGTCCCTGGGCCTGATGAGCCACTCCCGTTCTTGGATCCTAAGCACTGATATACACCTGCCCATTCAGTATGGACTGAGGCCTCTTCTCTGTGTTCTCCAGCACTGGAACATCCCCTTAGATAACTGAGCATGTTGTAATAATAACAGAGTTTTTACCCTTGGTGCCCTGAATCTACACCATATTGCTCTCTGCCCAGCCAGCCTTCCTGTCAGTCTCCTTCCAAGTAATTTTTGATTATCATGATGATAGAATAAATTTGATATTACTTCAGTCTTTGTAATTTTTTGAAACTTGTATTAAAGCTCCAAACAAGGTCTATCATGGTAATCATTACAGGTTTATTTACTACTGCTAAGTTTGGGAGTGGAGTCAGTTTTCTATAAATGTCAGTTAGCTGATCATGTTTTCAGGTCCTTAACCAATCTGCTTTGTGTGAGTACATGTGGTTGCTAATGCACATATATGTACAGGCCAGATATTGAGTGTTGGATATCTTCCTCAATTGCTCTTCATCCCTCCCCCCCTTTTTTAGATAGGGTTTCTCTGTGTAGCCTTGGCTATCCTAGAACTCTCTGTAGATCAAGCTGGCCTCAAACTGAACAATTCTCCTGCCTCTCTCCTGGGTGCTGGGATCAAAGGTGTGTGCCATCATTGCGCTAGAATCACTGAACCTAGAGCTTACTGATTGAGCTAGACTAGCTAGTGGGCTCCAGGGAACCTTCTATCTCCAGTTCTCCTGTGATGGGATTACAAGGTCCACACTGCCAGCTTTGTATAAGGGTTCTGGAGACCTGAACTCAGGTCTTCAGACTTGTGTAGCAGGACCTTTACCAACTGACCCATATCTCCTGCCCTCTCACCTTGTACTTCAGTTCCAGGCAAAAGGACAAAGTAAAGAAGTGCACCCACGAGCCAGGCACTCTAGACCATGCTGGCCTCAAACTCATAGAGATCCACCTGCCTCTGCCTCCCAAGTGCTGGATTAAAGGTGTGCTCACTGAGTTTTGGCAATGCCTATACTGATATAACACAAAGTATACGGAGACTTAGTATTTTACTGGTTAGTAAAACTAGACTCTACGTTTTACATGTATTCCCTCTGGGGTAAAGAGCTAACTGGAGTAGAGAATCCTTGCTTTTTCATTTTTTTCAAGTCAGGGTATTACTATTGTAGCTCTGGCTGTCCTGGAACTCACTCTGTAGATCAGGCTGGCCTCAAACTCAGAGATTCTCCTTCCTCTGCTTCCTGGGTGATGGGACTAAAGCAGTGGTTCTCAACCTTCTAATGCTGCAACCCTGTGACACAGTTCCTCATGTTGTGGGGACTCCCAATGATAAAATTGTTTCATAGCTATCTCATAACTAATTTTGCTGTTATGAAGAATAATATAAATATCTGATATGTAGGATATCCAAAGGGATTGCAACCCACAAGTTTAGAACCACGGGATTAAAGGCATCACTACTATACCTATATATATTAATGTACATTGGTGTGAAGGTCTCAGATCCCCCAGAACTGGAGTTACAGACAGTTGCAAGCTGCCATGTGGGTTCTGGGAATTGAACCCAGGTCCTCTGGAAAAGAAGGCAGTACTCTTAACCACTGAGCCATCTCTCCAGCCCCGTTTATATTTTTATTGGATGAGTCCAAACTCTGTCCTCATGCTTGCTCATCCCTTTGTCTACTGGATCTTCTTCCTAGCCCCATAGTGATTTTTTTTTTTTTTTTTTTTTTAAGATAGGATTTCTCTGTGTAGCTTTGGAGCCTGTCCTGGCACTCTGTAGACCAGGCTGGCCTCAAACTCACATAGATCCTCCTGTCTGCCTGCTAAGTGCTGGGATTAAAGATATGTGCCACCACTGCCCGGCAAGTGATTCTTTTTTTTTTTTTTTAAGATTTTATTTATTATTATGTATACAACATTCTGCTTCCATGTATATCTGCACACCAGAAGAGGGCACCAGATCTTATAACGGATGGTTGTGAACCACCATGTGGTTGCTGGGAATTGAACTCAGGACCCCTGGAAGAGCAGCCAGTGCTCTTAACCTCTGAGCCATCCCTCCAGCCCAAGTGACTCCTAGAAAACTATTTACTTACAGGTGAAATAATTTAAGACCTTAAAAACCTTAGAGTTAAATCCATTTTATTTTATTTTTAAAATCAATTTTAATAGAAAAGAAGTTGCTGAAAATACAGTATCTTTTCATATCACAGTAGAATACTCTGGTAAACCAAATGGTCATAATTTAGGTATATCTCAGTTATAAAACTATACCTTTTTTTAAAAAAAATATGTACAATTTCCAGTGTGACAACATTTTTGTAATGAGATTGCACTTGCAACAATGAACACAGCTATCCCTGAGCCCACTACCTTCCTCCCACCTCCAGGAGCAGCAGAGGGCTGCTGGGGGATGCCCTCTTCTGGGGGTGTACCGCCCACATGGAGAGCTCTGATGACAGAGCCCACCTAGAACCTGATTCTGCAATACAGTCTTCCAGCCCAAAGCACAACACTCAAAATACTCTGCCACTTTCTCTCCATTGCTCTTTGCAGAGAACCTAAGTCTTAATAATATCAAACTTGGGGACTTAACCCAAGGCATTACCCGAGACCCACTTCCCCAGCACCTGGCACACAATAGACTGATATTCATCAAATGCTTGTAGGGTGAACAGGAACCAGTCATTACATGTCGAGGGAGTGGCTAGTGAGCCATAGGAAATTCTGGCATCAGAGTAGCAGTATCTGAAAACACATTCCTTCACATGAACTCTAGGAAACAGCAGCTTCTACACAGAAAGTGATGCTGGTGCCATCTTACTGATCAGTTTGTTGAGAGCTCGAACTTTTTCTTCCAAGATACAGTTTTTCCTCTCAGCACCTCGCTGCTTCTCTTCTGTGAGTTGAACAGCTTTCATGAGGTGGGCATTTTCCACATACAGTTCCTTGAGCAGCAAATCAGATCTGGTGTTCTTCTCCAACTAGACAGGGGAGAGAGGCACACTTCCCTGTGAACTGCTGCAGGCTGCTAGGCTAGCCTGCCCCTCACCCTCTGATCCAGCTCTACCCTTGGCATTCTTGAGTTCTGACACATACTGGATACAATGACAATTTCTGTTTCCTGATAATAAGGGAGGAAAGTGAGAATCTGCAGAACTATGTGGAGAAAAATTAAGACAATTTTCTGACCATCTTTGCAGGAAATGAAAAGCCTTGCTATTCAGTACAATGTCTATATGCTCTGCCTTGATGATGCCACACAGGACACACTGAGTCACTACAGCTGCCCTTGTAGCCAGGTGTGTGAGCCAGTTACTATGTACAGGGAGGCTAGATAGGCTTCAGTGATGGAAACAGATAGTTCCAGGAAGTGGCCCTTGCTGTGTCCTTGTTCAAGACACACATAGATCTGAGCACTGGGCACCATGAGGCCACATAGAATCCATGGATATAATCACTGCGCGCACTATGGCAACACTAATGCTGTGGCAGAGCACATTAACAATGGAGACAGACGGAAACTAACATGCAGAGGAACCAGAGCAGTGTGTGCCATTGTGATGAACAGAGTAGGGCCTCCGTTAGGACAGAGATAGAAGAAAGCCAGAAAGCTAGTCAAGGCTGGGCATGAGCACTGCAAGCAGAGGAAAGGATACATACAAAGGCCCTGTGGCTGGCAGGTGCTTGGGGAGAGGTATGGTTGGATAGACTTGGAGTAGAAGTGAGAACAGACTGGGCCTGCCCTAGCTTACTCTTGAGTGAGTGGCAGCTTTCAGGCTGTGCCTAGCTTTGGGTGGTTCCATGTTATAAAGTAACAGCTTTGACTGGAATTATTGTGTTTGGAATATAAATGCCAAAAAAGGATGGCTATGTCCTGTATGCTCATGTAAAGAAGTCACCTGTGTCACCTATTTATATATCTCAAATCACATCAGAAACACCAGGCACATGAGCTCATCAGCCACCCCGTCAGTAACCCGGTGCCTGAGACTAAAGGGAGGGGACTAGCATGTGGCAGGCACGCTTCTAGTCATGAGGTCCCTCAGCACAAGCCTCATTCAGGAAAACTGCCACAGTGAAGGACTTCTGCCTCTTTCTCAGGCTCCAGTTGGAGTACAGTTTTTCCTGCATGTGACACTCAGCCACTCCTGGCTGACACTTGGCCTCTACCCGAACCTGAATCTACCTGCACGTGACATGCATGCAGTGTCCAGCTCTGTGCTGGACTCCGTCTGCCTCCCTGTCCCCACTCTTCCATACACCGGAATCATTTCCATCTTCCCCCTGGACGCTGCACACTTTGAGCCGTTCTTTCATCCAGTGGCCTACATGCTTGTAGATTGTGAAAGGCAATGTGTGGTATAACAGTTAATATTAGTTAAGACTGGAATTAAAAAACCTATGATTGCCAATGGGCAGTAACCATGAGAAAACGGAAGTACTTGTCAAACTGTAGCCAAGGACATGGACATAGCAGCTTGTGAATTTATAACTAATCTAATCAGTTCTGACACTGTAGAAAGACACAAATATGCCCATGTGCTTCTAACATGTGACATTCATGACAAAAGAGGTAGAGGGGCTTAGAATTATGTAATGGAGAGCAAGGCAAAGGAAGAGGATTCCTGAGAATGGCAGCCACAATTTTGGCATGATCTGCAAATACAGGATGGCATGTATTGAGAAGTCCATCTCCCTGGATTAATAATTACTAAAGAAAAATCATGCACTTTCTGCCTGTGGTTCTCAATGAACCCTTCCTGGATCTCCAGGTTCTGGAAGCAGAACCTTCCTGGGCCATGGGGAGGGAGGACAAAAGGCTATACTCTACTCGCCTGTTCTCGAAGTTCCTCCACCTTCTCCTGCAGCAGCCACTCCACATTGCGTAACCGAGCCTCAGCATCCTCCACCTGGTCCTCCTTGGCCTTCAGTTGCTGCTTATATTCTTCCTGCACAGAAGTTACACACCAGTGTAACAGTGCTCCTGAGGGTTTTTGTTTGTTTGTTTTTTGTCTTGTTTTTAAGATTTATTTATTATGTATACAGTGTTCTGCCTACATGTATGTCTGCATGCCAGAAGAGGGCACCAGATCTCACTGCAAATGGTTGTGAGCTACTACGTGGTTGCTGGGAATTAAACTCAGGCCCACTGGAAGAACAGCCAGTACTCTCAACTTCTGAGCCATATTTCCAGCCCCTTGGGTTGTTTTTTTGTTTGTTTGTTTTTGTTTTTTTTAAGTGAAAAATGACTAAATGCACAAATCTGAGCATGATAAATCTGTGCAGGTTATTGGCAATGTCTC